ACTTTGCCTGAGACTATAAGGATGAACCCTCCCACCAGCCACCTGCCCTGCCCACCTTGATCAGATGCTGCAGATTGTGCCCTGGTCACGGAGAGTGCTACTTGCCCTGGAGTCATCCTCAGGACCCAGCTTGTCCCCTCTCACGCAGCAGCCCTGCCCTTGCTGCTTTTTGGCAGTGATTTCCCAGTGCAGCTGCTCTTCAGATTGCTCCAGGTAACATCTCCCTGCTGCTCTAGCTATTCATTCAAGAATTACCCAGATCACTTTTCACATGGTTATGCAATATTCCCTTTAGCCTTGGGCTTCAGGAACACTGAGAAGCATTTGCAGCTTCAGTACGGGATCAAATTGCTGCCATCGACCACACTGACAGGGTCTCGGAGGATGACCCCCATGATGACATCCTTTTCAATCAGAGTACAGGAAAAGGAGTTGAGTCTGAGTGCACTGTCTGAGCTCCTTGCTCTCATTATTTCAAGGAGATGAGATCCCAGCTGCTGCTCCAGCCTAGGCCACTAGCAGCCAGTTAGCAGAAAGTTTTAAGAATCCCTCCTATTCTACTAGTGAGTTTATCAGGTGACCAAGGAAAATAAAAACAGCGTCCAAACAGCCCCCTCACTGCTGGCCCTGCAGAAAGGATGATAGTTTGACCCTAGATCCTGATCCAAGATGAAGTTTGTCTTTGACTCATGGGCCTTGCATTTCCTCTCCTATTGTCTGAAAGCCAAATTCAAAGTTGTTTTTGCAGCCCTTCGTGACGTCCTACTGCAGCTGTGCTGAATTCCACCATGAAACTGAAGAAATAGAAGAGAATGTAAATCAGAGGAAACATGAAAAATCTTCAGAAGAGATTTTCTTCTCCAGAATGTCTGTAGACAGTGAGGTACAAATGAGGATCATCATGGTGGATTCACACTGGAGCAGTTGCCACTGCAGCCGTGTTTGGGACAGAATGACCACACTGAATTGTGCCACATAAAAATCTTAATTATACTCCTTAAATCTCACTAGACCATATGGCACCCTGCTCCTCACTTTCTTTCAGTCTTTACTCAGACAAATCTCTTACTGAGGTCCGGGAGAATCTGCCTGTCTTACAGTGTGAATAAATACAGATTTGGAATTGACCTTTCATTTTTGCAGACCAATCTCAAATCCATTTCTGTGCTGAAGTAAGTGCCTTTGCACATGTCTCAGTCACACTTGGTTTCTAACTCATTGCTAAGTTTCTTGGGGCTAGAGAGTAGCACATACCTTCACAGTCAGTCCTTCCAGCTAACTGCACAGCACTTCTTTGCTTTAAGATCAAATTTATTTTTCTAAGCTATTGCATTCTTCCTATGCAGAGTAAAGCCAAGGATGTTTGAGGCTGGACCAGTCTGAAAGTTCCAGTTTCAGCATACACCAATGATTTCATGGTAAGTCCAACTAAATCCTGACCTACCAAAGTGCTCTCAGAAGATCCCTTGTAGTTGCTGCCCTTAATCACAGGCACCTCCTGTTCCGTAATCACAATTATCAGAAGATTTGTGGAAGGGGCATTGTGCTTCTTTGGATATGAAACACATCTTCATCTTATTCTCAGCGTGCACTGTTTCCACTCACGCAGATGGCTGAGATGACCCCAATCTTCCAGTCCGCCTGTATGACATATTTCATAGCACTCTGTTCATGGAGACACACTTCAGCTCACCCTCTGAGAACCACTGCCTCCCCTTGAGGCCTGTGCACTAAGAAGAGGATTTCCACTACGTGCAAATCCTGCCTTCTTCTTCACCTCACCAGCCCAGCCTCCCACACACACTGTCTAACCCTCCTCTCCTGCCACTGCTCAGCAATTTCAGGCTGGAGCAGTATCACAGCAACATGCTGAAGTATGAGCTCTCTTTGTGAGTTCTGATCAACTCTGGAAGGGAATGTGCTTTCCGAAGTCTTCCACAAGCCCAAGCATGATGGATCTGAACACTCCCTTACATCAACTAGCAGACACAGTGCAGCATCATGTTTCTGCAAAGCTTATTTGAGAATATTCAGGACTCTTGCTTCATATCAGGAAGGCCAACTTTCTGTAACCTGTAATGATGTTACGCTCCACAAACAATAGATTTTCTCAGCTCCTCACTTCTTCCGTTTCAAATAACCTGTAGACTTTGCACCATGAAGGAAGGATAACCACAAACTACCCAGGGCCACACACCCACCTCTGATTCTGTGTTCCCACTTCCTTGTTCTTACTGGGCCTAAACCAGGACAAAGCATTTCTGCACTTTTGATGTATGCCAACATAAAAGAAACTCTCCTTTTAGTGAAGGGCTCAAACCTGTACACCAGCTGCGACATACAGCCTGGCAGCAACAGTAAGAAGAACCTCTATTTGCATTTTCCTTTTTTTTTTTTAATTGGCCTTTCTCAACAACTGCTTCCCTCTGAAGAAATATTTATTCTCTCAACTACCTTTGTTACAAGAACCTGTTCTATAGGTTTTGGAGCTAACAAAGCCTTAAATTATCGAGTAAAGTGAACCTCACCTCTGTGGTTTACACAATCTAAAACACTTTCTAAGCTTTGTTACCTTACTGTGTTTCTTTCCAGTTTCTGCCTTATGCCCCTTTTATCTATCTGGAAATAACTATACAGTACAAGCTTCCTGGAACAAGAGGACAATCCTGCCTTGGGACAAGACTCTCAACCTAGGGACTGATCTGCCTGTTGTGGGACCAAAGCTGAGTGACAACTGTCCTCCTCCTGGTCCCTATGAAGAAGACTCCCATCACCTATGCAGTTCTCCATGCAAACAGATTCTCCTGGCCTGAAGAGCCGAGCATCACAATGAAGCATAGGCAACCCGAACTCTTCCATTGTCCCCCTGTACACATGTCAATTAAATAGATACAGGTGGGAAGATGACCTGGGCAGGGAGGACTGCAGCTGCAGGAGACAGAAATTATGATGACCAGAAAATGCCAGCACACTGAGAGCCAACTGCCCATAATAGCTGCTGTGCTTCAGCAGCCCGGGGCAGGTATGGAGTCACTAGACCACATCCTAGTGTTTAGCAGTGCAACCTTACTGCATTTGGACCTATATGACAGTGAGGAAGGGGCCCAAATTTCATCCTTCGTCAGACTACAGGACAAGGAGAGCTAACTTTCAGGAGCATCATACATATGCTGATGGGAAGGGGAAAGGAGGATCTCCCTTTCGAGGTGTTTCCAGAGGCATGCAATAATCCATAATGTGTGGTCCTAAGTAATTTTAAGCAAGATTAGTTCCTTTTCAAACACCATGTTAAGGCGGGTTTCATAAATGTGACCTGAGTTATCAGGACTTGCTGGAAATAAGCAGACCAGCATAGTGCTTGCATCATCACTTAAGGACAGTTTTTTAGTACCACACCACTCAGACATCACCTCAGGACGTGGCTTTTTACAGAAAGCCTTCTAGAATATCCTGGGTTCCAGGATTCTAGAATATACTGGGTTCCAGAAATCATGAGAAAAAATTGACTAATATGAGGGGTTGGTTAACAGAAACTCACTGCCAAATTCTAACAGATCATACTGAGCTGACTGCACTTTCACATCTAACCAAGAGATTTTTGTGGACACTCTCCAGAGCTCTCAGTGCCCTCTCTTTGACTTTGGCTATTTGCAAATTCATGGACAGGAAGCAGTGACATGCAAAATCAGTTTTATGATGTCTTTTCACAAAGACAGACTCAGGACAAGAATAGCTTCTCGCTTTCCCTCTGTGCCCTGAGACTGTTGTACCTCTCCCTCCTACTTCCCTGACCCACTCTGCAAGGCATTTGCAAGGCATTTCATATGCAGTACCTGTGCAGCAGCTCCGCACATATGAAGACTCTATCTGTGTAGGATTATTCATGGATGAAAAGTGATCACTGAAAAGGGTCCGGTTCATTTTGCCAACTGATCAGCTACAATAAGATCTATAGTCAAAGCTTGTGGCAAGGGAGAATTTCGACCTCATGAAAAATTTAAATGTTCTTGAATTTTGTATTGTTTCAGTCCTGAAATCTGAAAATCACTTCTGATGTTCCTAAAACACAATGATTAGAAGGAGCTCCTGAGTAAAACTGAATGATGAGTTTCACCACTGGAATTCAGAGCGGCACAATACTCATTTCAGTGTCAGTTAGTAGTTACAAAGGCTTCAAATGCATGTAACTCCAGGATACTTCAACAGAGATCACCTTACAGCTGAGACGCACAGGCCCACCAGCTGAGCTGCCCTCCCATATGCACAGCTTCAGCAATTGGTCCCCAAGCTTCAGAAATCAATTTGCCCACAGGGCTGCCTGGCATGAGGGCTAGGTAGACCTGTGCCACAGCCAGGCTGAGTAACGGTGCTTAGTGCAGTCGTGGCACAGTGTGAACCCAAGCAGGCTGTTAAGGAGCTGGAAGTAAAAGCTGGCAGGAAGCCATGAAGGCCAGAATCAAAACCTTCCTGCCAGAGAGGATTTCACTGCAAGAGCTGAGGAACTGACACATTTCCTTTCACGTTTTATTTTAAATGAAGCCATATTTTCAACAAAAAATTTCCAGGCAGGTTCCGTTTTTGAAAGGCCTTAAAGCCTGATCCCGCAAACACTTTGACTTGCATAATTTTCTAGAAGCCGGTAAAGTTATTCTGGTATACTCTTCCAGAATTAGAGCTCTTTGAATTGCTCCTTGCAGGGCTGACTCCAAACACAGATCTCCCTATGCCTGGTTCAGTAATGAAACATCTCTCTGATACGTTCTCTGCTTCCCATTATCTTCTCACAGGATACAACAACACACAAAGTCCAGGTCTTCCCGTGAAGCCCAGAGAAATAATCTTCATTGGAAAGAGCAGACTTCAGGCCTCTGCTTACAGAGACATATCTAGGATGTGCCGATGTGAACCAGTTGAAACAGCAAAATGAACACGAAGGGAAAGATCCTCCCAGTGTGAAGACATGAAGCAGATGTGACCACATCTGTGATTACAACTGTATTAAACAATGCACACTGGTAACTTACAGCATATTGAAATTGTAGATTGAAGTCCCGGTTGTTTGCTTGAAGTTGTCTCTCTTCCTCTGTAGAGAAGAAAAAACATATCAGACCTGCAGAGGAAGAACTGATAACATGCTTAAATACAAGCAAATTCCACATAGACAGGAATGAAGGAGCAGAAAAGGAAAAAAGATCTACAACGACGTACTATCATGGATAATCTGTGCAAAATGGCTAGTCTGAAGGGACTGAAGAGGCTGGCAGCACTGACAGAGCAGCGCTATGAACTACTACAGTAGCAATGATGTCAGCCCATACTCCAACTCTCCCACACACACACATTTGGCTGCACTGGCAGCCCTACTTTAGCAGGTAGCTCACCTGTACTATTAGTTCCCCTGGGCAAGAATTATCACTTAACTTGCAGTGCTTGAAACCTCTGCCCGGCTCCACCTCTTCCCCTGAAGTCTCTCTGTTGCTGTGAGCCTATGCTAGCGCTCTCCATGCAAAACACACGTATGTTCTAGCATCATCCTGTAGACAGGACATTACCACCACCACAAGCACAAAAATCCAAGACCACCGGACAGGATTTCAGGAGGTCATCAAACCTATTCCCCAAGGCAGAGTTATGTCTGTCAGTCTCAATAAATGTCCCAGGAAGCTCCTTGAGGTCTCTTCTTGAGATCTATTCCAGAATGGCAGTGTCCTTACTATGGGGACGCTTCTTCACATTCTCTAACACAAAAGTCATTATTCAATTCAATTGACCTAGGATGATGGAAAATGCTCTTCTGCTCTTCTTTAGATTGCAATTCCATGTAGTGCTTCCCAAGGACACAGTAGAAATGAATTTATTACATATTTGAAACTATTATGCCACACACTAGACTTCTCTTCCTTAGGCTAAACAAATCCAGTTTGTTCAGTTGCTTCTTATTGGGCCAGTTAGTCAGAACTGGCATTGCTCTTACTGTTCTCCATGGCTTAATATCCTTTAGCACCACCAGGAATCATCTGACAGTGTTCCAGAATATGATCCAATATAATTTCAGATTCTTTTTGGCAGAGCCAGTGCCTCATCAGGATATGCAAATCCTACATTTGCCCTTATTGAACTGCATCTTTTTTTTTTTTCCTTTTTTTTTTTTTTTTTTTACTATTTCTCCAACAATTCTAATAGTATCTTTTAGCATTTTGTAGCTACTATCTTTCAGGATGCTTGCAGTTCCTGCCAGGGTTGTGCATTTGCAGACTCATTAAATGTGTTCTTTATTCTACCAGCCAAGTTGGAGAAAAAAATATCGAATACTAGATCTAGGGTACATCCCTGATGAGTCCCATGAATTTGATAATGAATCATTGATAACTATTGTCAGTGTATTTTTTTTCTAAAATTTTGGCACTCTGTGGTGATCTCATCTTGAGCATGTCTCGCAAGATACATGACAGCTGTCTATGGCTTCTTCCCTAGCCCTAGGGCCTGCCACTAATACAGAATTAATTTTGCCTTAATGGAGTTTTTCTGAACTGCTGACTGTTAATCATCTCTTCTTTCCCCAGCTACTTTGAAGTGGTTTGTTTGACTGCTTCAACATTTACCAAAGAAGCAAAGCTAATACATCTATAATAGCACAGCTTTTCTTTTCCCCCTCGTTTCAAGATATATGTCCTAGAAAGCTCTTTTGCTCTTTTCTCAGTCTTCTGAACTTTGCCTGTCTGTTCTCTAAAATCTCCTAAAGACAATATAGCTCCAGGCAGTTCTCTCACCACACAATTAACTTTGCCCAGTGAAACCAATGGAAATACATCTACCTTGCCCAAATGATCTTTTTCTTCTCTGTTTCAGCCAAAAATCTCCCTCCCCCTGCACTGCTGGAAAGAAATGTGTTAGACGACTATTAAATGTTTGACTTACAGAAAAAAAAAAAGAGCAGTTTTCATTTTTTTGCAGAGTTTTTTTACTGACTAGCAGATGTAAGTCTTCATTGATCTCCCTCTTACTAGAAGAGTTACAGTACCCTAGAGAACCCAATGGTTACAGAACAACTTTTATTGCCCTCTATGCCCTTGAGAGCTTCTTATCACTTTGTGCCTTTGCCACACAGTTTGTCCTGGATAAAGAAGTCTGCTGTTCAAATTCTATAGGCATCCTTCCCCTGTCTGAGGTGAATGAAAAGCTTGTGATTTGGCCATTTTATTCATCCTTCTGAAGCTTTATCTGCAAAATGATAGCTTGCACTAATTCTCATAATATAATTTTTTTAAGGGGATGACATACATAATTACCCCTGCCACCCCAGATTTCCTTCCCCTGAGATATTAGTTACCAGGTCTCCATATCTACTGAAGATTTCTTTCTTGAAGTCCAGTGTAATTACTCCCTGCTGTCACTTTTTCCTCTCCTAAATATCATACTATGAGTTCATTTCTCTAGTTCCATAACATTGTCCACCTCTGTACAGAAGAGTTGTACCCGCTCTCTCCATGAACATGCTGAACAAATCCTGTTCCAACAGTTCCTTCCCAACTGTCTGTCTACATATTTAAAATTCTCCATTACCATCGTCCCCTGCATTTCAGATAATCATACTAATTGCTCAGCACAGACCGTCCTTCCAGGTTTGATATATCTCTGTTCTTTGCTCTTGTATCACTACTCAGAGATTTACTATTTTGTTCAGTTCTTTCCACATGCTGAATATCAGTACACATGAACATACAAGGAAAACATCTTTTCACTTTCCAGAATAAGGTCTGTTCTTTTATGTTAGTGTGTTAGCTTCATAAATTAGACCATCACATGTCTGTTATACCTATTAAATGATTTAATACAAGAACTAGTTATTCCTGTTTATCCACTCTTGCATTAGCTAACATCTAGGCTATTCAATGCATTGAACTCATGCTTCCCTCTTTTCCTCCAGTAACCCTATAAATAACACTGCATCCCTAATTTTCAAGTCCTTTTCCAGCTCGTCTTTCTTTTTTTTATGTCTGCCTGTAGGCTGTTGTCATCAGACCCGCTAATTACTTAATTAAAAACTCTCTTTACTGTGTTAGCAGGTGAATGTACTGTCTCTTTTTTTCAGTCGTATGTAGTCAGACACTTTCCAATCGGATCCCATCTGCCTTAGCCGGGTGATTCAGGCCAGCACAGAGGCTTCATTCAGGGCACTCCGAGTGCTCAGTTCCTTTACTGCTTTCCACAGACACGTTTTTCTCTTCTTTCACAAAGGGGAAAACAATGTGCAGAAAGATCAGCGTAACTTGTGTCCAAAAGAAAAACAGACGCAGAGCTCAGGAGGTCGGGGCTTGCAGAGCTTTAACTATTGTGTTACATGCCCCTTCAGGTATTTTCTTGAGCGTAACCGGTATTATCAAAGGTGATGACAGTTACAGTTAGTTATTAAATACAGAACTTCCCTATGCCCACAGATTTCCTCCCATACAGTAAGTGCTGCTCCAGGAAAAAAAAAAAAAAAAAAGATAACTGGCTTCAGTTAACATGATTAGACAACAAAACTCTGAAAATTCTATCATCTTGTAGGAATGCACTAGCACAGTTCGTGCCAGGCTCGGGGACACAGAACCAACTCTGCTCTCAACTGTGGAACAGCAGAGGCAGAACTGCTCAAACAACACATTCCTGAAGGCCCCCAGGTCCAAGACCCCATGATAGCCATGAAACCAGGCCCTAAACTGAGTGGAAAGTTCTCCGGCCTACCCTAGAAAATCCACTGCGAACACCAGAACTCTTCCCTTCCTGGAGACTGGAGCTCTTAATGGTCTTCAGCCTTCTGAGAAGTGGCGTTCCCGAAGGCCAAGCTCTGAGGCCACTTTCTAAAGGCAAGGTATTCATTATCCTTACACAACCTTTGCTAAAGGAAGAACAGTCCCAACAAATTGCAAAGAGTGACTCACGCAACACGGCCCACAAGGAAAACTCTCTCTCCTCTCACCACACAAAAGCAGAACCAGCACTGGCCACATGCGCAGGGCAGCAGGTCTGTCCCAGTGGTTTTATTTTTACCAGAGAGCACAGTGAGGCCCTCCTGCTGCGTTTCTGAAACAAGCAGTTCTCAACTACCATAGGTCAGACATCTCTTTTATTTGTTTCTGTGAGTGTTTGGACAGAAATGAAGTCTCTTGGATAAGTGCTATAAACAAAGAGCTAGAGAAACCCTCCCATTACATCAGATATGCCTGGAAACGACAGTTCAGAATATTTTGGCTGTAGATCCAAACACACATGTCTTGCCATGCGCTGTTAATTCTGGTTGCAGTGAGGAAAAAAGAAAGAGGGGGCAAAGTGAAGGGTTAGAATAAGAGAGGTTTTTTTCAGCTCCTGAAACTTTTACCTCTAAGCAACTTGTATTAAACCATCTGCTATTCAAACTATGGTCACAAATCACTGGAGGAAAAAAAAAAAGACAAAGAGAGGGATTTGTGCTCCAAGTAATCATTTCATTGCCACTGAAAACTATTTTAAATTATTCATCAGTGGAAACTCAGCATACACAAATATGGCTTAGTGCCCAGTTCTTGGTCTAACCACTGAGACCAAGTCACTGGGAAAATGGCTGTTTTCTCAGGCAGACAGATTTAGGAGCTAAACCACGGAATAACATCTGGATTGAATAATGTTAAATCTATGCCAAAAATCAGCTATAAATGCAACTGGCCAGTCCACCAGGCTTCTGCCCTTAGGACCGTTGCATGGAAAACTCCCGCAAAAGGTTCAATCAAGATATGCTCAGAGATCCCAGAAATTTGCTTCTGGTTTATGCTAAGGAGTGTATGCCAAGTGAAATGCTTTGAACAGGCCACTGGAAAAGCTTTGCAGATACCGAGTTTTGTGGCTCCAAGGAGCAGGAGGCTAAGATCTGCTTGGTTTTGCCAAGCTATATACAAACTAGGGCCTGATACCTCATGCATGAAATGAACCCAGCCCATTTAGGGGAGTGTCGGAGTAACCAAGCCTGAGCAGTCCAGAGACAACACATGCACAAACAAACAAAAAAAACCCCAACTCTGCTCCACCCTTTAAACAAGCAATACGAAGAGCATAAGAAATGCATTA